CATTTTAAAAAACCCACACCTATTAATCGACACCTTCCATTATGACTTTCACCAAACAATAAGAAGACGTAATTGATTTGGATTGGATAATTCTCTAGCCAAACATATTTCGAACAATCTGATCACATACGTACTTGTCACAGGTGCTGTTCTCAATAACAGTAAAGTGCTACAGGGCGACAGAATAGACACATAGGCTAAGTTAAAAGGCTATATTGAAGCCCAAAATAACAATAGACATCAGTAAACCAAAATTAGGGTTAATCATAAATCAATCATGGTATCAAAACCAAAACTTATCAGGGAAGGTTTGATGTAATGACAATTCGTTTGTGAGCACATAAAGCTGGCTTATAATTTCATATTGCTAGGGCTTCTATAAACTTTAAGATACCAGCCTCAACATATTTTATAGAGAAGTTTAAAAGATGTATAAATGGCAATTTTATGCTCTCTATCCATAATATGCTTTACAGTTGAAGACCTTGTTCGTCTATTTTTACCATAAATAGATTCCAGGTATTCAATCTACTTCTGAATCGACTTAAGATCGTGCTATGAAACCCTTACTTGCAGAGATATACTGAGTTCTTCTAAAGTATGGGTAAATACGGTGGGATTTGATATCATATTCCACATGTTTTAAGGGCTTGGGAGGTACACAGACTTCACGTTCTCAGTCATTTGGATCTTCGTTCCATAAAATTATTAACTAGGTGTTCATGAAACCTTCATTCACGATGAAGTGTTTCACTCACAAATTAAAAGACTGTTAATATTTCAAAGCTGAAACTACAACTACTGAGATAGAATTATCTTGCTGTTAACTTTATATCACCCAAATGAGCAATAACACATAACTACAACAAGTAGAACTGTTTTAACTCACAGAATTAGTATAGTGAGGATATGAAGAAAAAACTATTCCCTCATCAACTTATTCCTGTGAAGTTACATAAAGATGCATAATAAAAGTTACAATCCAGTATAACGCAACTTAATTACGTAAGATATCTGCAATGAAGGCAACTAATTATTACTCTTTCACTTCAGCCAGAATAAATCTGGATTATAGATCACTGATTGTTTTTGTTAGATGGAGGTTTATCAGACTTTGATTCCCACAAGTCCATTAGTCTTTTGATGAGATTGAGTGAAAATGAAAGGTGCTGATTTAGTGACGCACACAGAAAATACACTGATATTGATAATTGATAACAGGGTATAATTAGTTTAAAAATGTACAAAGCCTAGAAAACGTAGGCGGCCTTGTCAGGCTGTTGATGAATGAAAATAGTGTTGATAAAGCAATTAAAACCACTTGTTACTGATTGAATTTCGTTCCCATAATAGTAGAAGTAGGACTAATAAACTTACTACCTACGTTATATGCCACCCATATAGTTAGAAATTTAAACAATATAGTGAAGCTTCAACTGTATACAGAATCTATCCAAGAAATTTTGTGTTCCTAATAGGGTTTAAAACCGATATATAACGATTAGCTAAGATTAAAATTAGTTTCCAGTGTAGTGACGTCTTAATAAACTCTCATGGAGTAGATGGTGATGTTATTTCGGTAGGAATACAAATTTAATGTCCAACATTTCTTAGTTTGGTCTATTTCTAGTGACAGGAATATATCCAGCTATCAACCAAGAAAATCTCTATTACTCTACATCTAAACGACGTGACGGTTGAAAGAGACGTTCATAATCTGAAATAGGAGAATATACCGTAAAAATTGTTGTGGTCACACACGCACACACACTCGCAGTGAAACACATAGATCCTGTTGTCATTTAGCCAAAATAGTTCCAGGACATCCAAACCAAGTACACACAAACGTAGACTCAATCTATCAACTAATGAGACAACGTCGCATATTAACCAATAAAGCAGCCAATTCACATACAATTATAAGCAGCGACACACAATCACTGAAACACCACCTAATCATATCAAAGGTCAGTTACGACAAAATCAATACACCTTTTGTATAGAAATTCTGAAATTCCACATTTTTCTGTTATATGCGAAATTAACGCTGTCACTTAGAGTTCCAGTGAAGACTTCACAGTTATTATATTTTCTTGAGATTCAATGTTAGACGCAGCAGGATACGTGCGGAAAGATGCTGATGACGTAGTCATATCGAAGCACAACACCAGTCTACGAAGTCATCGGCCATTTGCCTGATCTGAGTAAGATATTAATAGATTGCTTGGATTAGGAAAACTTAAAACTCAATGATTGAAGGATTTAGCTGAAATGGCTTGAAATCGTCCACTGCAGTGTAGATCTATACACTCCATATCATTCATTAGATTCTGAGAAGCTGCATTAATCTTCGTTAAATTATTCTACTTGACATATATTACTTCACTGTAGTGTACTACTAATGTTGTTTACTTTTTCAAAATATGACAAGATGTACTTCTGTACGAAGTAGTGCGCTGATTTATCCATCTGTCTATACATCCATCGATTTAAAACAGACGATGGATGAATGAGTGAATAAATAAAAATATGAAGAGAAACTGAAAGACAAGCAGAAAAGTGAACCTGACTCATTAATCACCATATCTTATCTTTGCTTTGTTTTACTTTAACAATGATGATTTTTTAGCAGCTTGAATGGTAAACACACATCAATAAATACACACATGACAGCCACATGATCAACTCCAATGTTCATATGCATGAACAAGCCTCATCCAGGCATTCATGAAAACGAAACACGTAGTTCAGCGAAAAGGCTCTTCTCGGCGAATTTATGAAACAGGGTAGTAACAAAAGTGATGAGTTGTCACAAACATAGTAATGAATGTTAGTCAGTGCACAAAAGAAGTTGAATAAGTGTATCCGAGTTGCGTAATAAGATCAATAATCTAATGAGTGAGTTGTAATCAGAATGCATATAGAAACGAAGGGAAATATGGAATGTTGTAAGAGTCCTAAAGAAATTCAAGAGTTAGAAAAACAAACAAACAAATAAAAGTGAAGCGAGAAGAAATCAATACGGTTGTTACCATGATGGTAGGGGTGGTTGAATGATTTTCTTCTGTATGCACACCTTCGGTTTTTTTAAATGACTGGCTAAAGCTTCAAAAATGCAAAGGAGATGAAAGCGTATTGCTTTTGGCAGGTTATTCTTCACTTTGAAGGAGATGTTTGTTGAGTTGGAATGGTTAGCGTTGACAAGGTGTTCGATTGTTGCACTCCTTATAGAGCCACTACTCCCTTTCTGCAACTATGCAGGATAATGTTCTTGGGCTCCTTTAGAAAGGATAGTCGTCGAACGACCAATGTACCTGGCTCCACAGCAACAGGTGAACTGATGTATGCACATAGAAGTGGTCAGACGTGAGATACTGTCTTTCAGGTTTCAAAAACATTACTCCGCATGGTTGCAGAAAGGGAGTAGTGGCTCTATAAGGAGTGCAACAATCGAACACCTTGTCAACGCTAACCATTCCAACTCAACAAACATCTCCTTCAAAGTGAAGAATAACCTGCCAAAAGCAATGCGCTCTCATCTCCTTTGCATTTTTGAAGCTTTAGCCAGTCATTTAAAAAAACCGAAAGTATGCATACAAAAGAAAATCATTCAACCACCCCTACCATCATGGTAACAACCGTATTGATTTCTTCTCGCTTCACTTTTATTTGTTTGTTTGTTTTTCTAACTCTTGAATTTCTTTAGGACTCTTACAACATTCCATATTTCCCTTCGTTTCTATATGCATTCTGATTACAACTCACTCATTAGATTATTGATCTTATTACGCAACTCGGATACACTTATTCAACTTCTTTTGTGCACTGACTAACATTCATTACTATGTTTGTGACAACTCATCACTTTTGTTACTACCCTGTTTCATGAATTCGCCGAGAAGAGCCTTTTCGCTGAACTACGTGTTTTGTTTTCATAATCATATTCACTGTATGATTCGAATAATAACTTAACAGTTACTTTCATTGAAATAAAAAAAGAAATGAGTTCAAGTGGAGAAATAAACGACCATCAATAGCTGTCTGGTAAATAGCAATGAAGTGAATTAGTTAAACCACACTGGGGAAGATATATACACAATGATATAAAACAATGTGGAAACTGGCATTAACGGACGGGCGGATCGGTAATCCATGTGACATTACAATACTTAAAATACCACTTTAAAAAATTCTACAGAAGGTAACTGGGATATGCCAATCACCTGTACACAATCAGCTGCACACACACACAATCCCTACATTTTGTCATCATATAATATTAGCTTGGTGTTTAATCTCTCATTCATTACATTAACTAATTTCTTGCCGTATAACACATACATCAAAATAAATTTAAATCTGCTTTCCAAAAAAAAGTTGTATTGAATGTGTACTTTAGCATTTGCAAAGTAGATGATTGAATTCTACTAGTGATTTCAATCTATGATATTTCAAAATAACATAATCACACGACTTAAAAAAAGAACAATATATAGCTTTATGAAATAAATTTTATTATTATCACTATTCTCAAAAATAACTCAAGAAACATAATTGAAGTTACTGAAGGCTGTAATTTTCTACACTTTTAATATGATTATAGGACAGAATTATTCACGCACCAATGGCTCATTGGTAAAATGCTCACTAATCCCACACGGGATATTCAAGTTCGATTCCTAACCGACATACGATGAAACCTCGCCTAGTTTACTTGCCAGTAGAAAGCCTGGAATAGGACGGAAGATTTAGAGTGAGGCTAGCAACCTTGTCGCTACAAGCACCTCAAAGCTTAAAGACCTATTTATCCATACAAAAAGCAAGGCATGAGAAAGAAAAAAAACACCTCTTGATCACAACAACTGCCAAACACCAAGGCAGCTGATTCAAATCTTTCCCTTCATCTTCATTACCACATCATACCACAAAAAGGATATGTATATAAATATACAAATACAACAATGGTTCATATCGAATACATTACGAAATTAGCAACTTACACTCCAAATTTACTCAATGATGCTGATGACATTAAACTGAGTGTAAAACCAAATGAATGCTTAATATACTCTGGACTTTCGAAATACATTGGTAGAAAACGGAATTCAACTGCTTTACACACTGATTGATAAGTTCTAAAAATAAAGGAAAATAAGAAAAAATAATTAAACATTAATAAGATAAGTAACATTATTATTATATTAGTGGGACAGGGTAAGAGTATTAAGAAGTAATATAGTTAAATGGAAATAGGGGTTAATCACTGAAGCTTTGTTTATCGATTCAACACCGAACACGTGCAATCAGAATGATGCAACGCCTATACTGGAGATATGGAAAGTGACAACAAGCAACAAGGGGAAGTTGGAGAGGGAATATATATATATATATATATATTAATAAATTTTAAAACCGTGTGACTAAAATTGATATGATTATGAGCAATAACGTAATGCCCAAAACGTCATCCAGTTGTTAGTACAGCACCATCGTTATGTGATATTTACAATACTTATCTAATATGGAATTACATCCTACCAATTACATGACACATTAAATCAGTTCATTCATTGAACAATTACGATTTCTTTAAACTTACTTCGCTTCACGTGTACCATACCTCAAATTAAACTTTTACTTCAATAAATGAAACCGTTTATTATATTCTTCTTAATTAACCAGAAAAAAAAGCTAACTTGAAAATGGAAATTGCTATACAGAACTGAACTAACTGAGATTGCGACACTTTAGAGTACAGTAAGACGAAGTACTCACTTACACATGTACACAAACAAGCCAAAGAAAGCCTCATTCAAATGTACTACTAAAGAAAGGTTCTGAATATAAAATGTAATATAATAATACTAAGTTTCCAACACTTTTCGTGACTGTTAGTGTTAAAAATGACAATTCACAATCATACTTTATACCACCATAATGCAGGTGGATTCAATTGAACACTTTTAGTATTCTCAGTTTGAAAGTTGAGGCTTTTTCACACTTCCCAAGTGCACACTGAACCAAAATGTTTATCACATTTAATGAAAATACTCACCATGTCAAATTTTAAGCGCTTACTTTCATTGTTGTGTTGGTTATTGCTTAATTCGTTTTGCTATCTTTAGAAAATACTTAAGGATAACTGCATCAATAATGTCATTCCTCCCCCATTCCATATTCAATAATATACTGTTATACGTTTTACCAAATATAAATACCATTGTACAGCTAATGTTACAGTGGAATTCGGTGAAGGGAGACAAGTCTTCTTGTGATAATCACAGAGGGATTAGCCTGACTAATATAGTATCTAAAATCCTAGGCTCAATAATAATGCGTAGACTTAGTGGTGCTCGGGAGACACAAACACGAGAAAACCAGGCAGGTTTTAGGCCAGGTAGAGGGTGTATTGATCATATCTTCACCCTTCGACAGATTCTAGAACATAGGCATTCCTACCGGCGTCCGACAATCATTATATTTCTTGACCTAAAGGCGGCATTCGATTCTGTCGACCGAGAGGTTCTCTGACGATGCTTGGCTGTAAAGGGAATGCCGAGAAAATACATTGCACTGATTAAGGCACTCTACTCGTACTCATGCAGCCAGGTGAGGGCTTATGGCGAGTTGTCATCCGAAGTGGTGACGACTAGTGGCGTCCGTCAAGGATGCCCATTATCCCCATTCCTATTCAACTTCATCATAGACGTACTAATGGACTTAACCCTAACACACTTCAGCGACTCAGAGATTGACTTGCTACCAGGGAAGAATCTCGTTGACTTAGAATATGCGGACGATATAGTCCTTCTAGGCGAGGACGCTGACAAAATGCAGAGACTACTGAACACCTTGAGCTGCAATCTAAGAATGTTTGGCATGCGATTCGCCCCTGTAAAATGTAAGATGATACTGCAGGATTGGACTTCACCGACCCCTAGATTAGAAATAGGAAGTGAAGTGGTAGAGCACGTTGACCGCTTCAATTACTTGGGAAGTACCATCAGCCAGGGCCAACGGGTTGACCTCCGACGAAATCTCAGCACGAATACAGAGGGCTAGGTTCGCATATGCCAGTTTACGCCGTCTCTGCCGTAGATGCGATATCCGACTATCGACCAAAGGGCGTGTGTACTGCTCAACAGTCCGCTCCGTCCTCCTTTATGGCTGTGAGACCTGGCCATTGAGAGCAGAAGACATGAAAAGATTAGCTGTCTTCGATCATAGGTGTCTGCGTTCTATCTCCCGCGTGAAGTGGTATGATAAGGTGAGCGATATTGAGGTTGGGCGTCGAGTGCTAGGTAAGGAGGGGAAATCAATCGACAAAACGGTGAAATTACTTCGACTGAGATGGTTGGGACATGTGTTACGTATGCCTAGTCATCGCCTTCCTCGACGGGCAATTTTAGCTGATATAGGGCCAGGCTGGAAAAGAGCTAGCGGCGGTCAAACCAAAACATGGCACCAGTCAATGAAGTCCACAACAGTTAGTCTAAGCCACGTGGGAAGATGTAGACTTCCTGATTGGGGTCCTCGGGACGGTAAAAACCAATGGTTGGAAACAATTGGTGATATGGCTCAAAATCGTTCTCAGTGGCGCAGATGCATCCACTCCTTGTGACTTATGATTTCCAATTAAACTGTTTTGTTCTCCGTTATTACTATTCCTTTGTCTCACACCTCTGTTTACTGTCTATATTATGCATTTCTTCTACTTTCTTCTCTTGCTTTGTGTGCTACATGGAGTGTGGCGACTTGAACTGCCGCACATTGGTGCAAAGTTCTATGTCGTAAACCGACCGACCGGAATTCGGTGACTACGGTATAATATAATTGTATACTAAAAACGTTGGGTAGGTCGGTTCGATTCCCGCTCCAGATATTTCTACAAAGAATTACTCTTATTCTTCTTGTTGCTTATTTAGTTCTTTCATATTGACTGGAATTAAACCGACATGGGAAAATTGATGACGATAAAGCATATATGTTAAAAGTTGCTATCATCATCATCATCGTCAAAAGTGTTTACGCAGTTCATTTATAACATGAAAGTTTAAGCCACCGCTTTTTATGCCAGTGAATTACTGACAGAAACCTCATTGGGCCAGTTGAGGGAACCGGTTCAAGCTAGTTCAGTATGACAATGTAATGAACAGTAGATGAAATATCAGTCATTATCAACGACAACAACAGTCCAGGTGTCGATTTCCAGGGATTCAATTGGTTACAGGTTTGATTACGATCTGACATCAGTTAAAGAAACATTAGAAAACCAAAAAGTACTGGAGAGGTGTTTCATCCTAGTTTGGGACACTTCATCAGTACTCACCCACCGGATGCAAGCACGCCTTGGAATGGGAAGGTCTTGGGTTCCAACGGCAGTGGGTGTGTACTGATGAAGGGTCCCAAGCTAGGACGAACAGCTGTCCATTACTGTTTGGTTTTCCACTGGTTCTCTAACTGATGTCAGATCGTAATCAAACACCGATAAAGACAATTTACCCAAGCTAACTAAATTATTCATCCCAAGCATACAGTTGTTTATTATATTTGAGAATAATTAGGCCAACAAAATGACTGATGTAATAATTTTACAAATACATAAAGGAATGAAACAAATTAAGGCAAAAGAAGAAAAGGAACACAATAGCAACAGAACATATTTATGTGTAAAATATTAAGTCAAAATGTTTTCTCGATGACAAACAAAAAAAGAAAGTTGAGGTGAGTGATAAGGACAAGAGAGAGAGAGAGAGTGAGAGAGAAAATGTGTACTCTATTTGCCTTTGGGGAAGAGAATTATCCGATCAAATTACATGCTCATTAGAAATTACTCGTGAAAATTCATCACCCTATTTACGATTCATATATTCCTGTGATAGCAGGTCATTCACAGAAATCAAGGTTTAAAGAAAATTAGGAGAAGAATAAACATCTAGACTGAAACACAATATCAGTTCAAAGAAAACGGTGACGGAGACATGTCAACAATCCATGAAATCTCTAACTGCTGGTTTAAGCCATAAAAAAAAGTATAGATTGTCCATCTATTTTTGTCGACTGACTTAAGAATAAGTTCAAAACTTTCGATGGTATACCTTTTTGTATCGAGTCTAGATTACGTCATCGAAAGTCTCAACTCGCCTGTTCCTAAGCCAATCGAAACAGATAGGTAAGCATTATATCCTTCGTTACATCACTTAGACCAGTAGTTAGGTATTTCATGGATTGTTATTCACTGGAGACTGTTATTCATATGGTTCAAAATCGTTCTCAATGACAGCGCAGATGCATTCACTCTTTGTGCTCTTCCATATCCACTAAACCGTCATGGTTTTCCATACTACTATTCTTTCTTTCTCATATTTTGCTCTTTTCTCCCTCGTCTGCCCCCCTCTGTGTGTTACAGCCTGAAATGTGGTAACTTGAACTGTTGGCATTCTGTGCAAAGTTCTATGTTGGAAATCAGTCTCAGTCGATACAAAAAGAAGACAAACATTTAAACGTATTCACTCATTATCACTTTCAGAATATTGGGATATTTTCCCTTAACTTTATTCAATAGCCCATTATCCTTCTCAGACACCTTTAGTTCACTTCCCGGTACATATTGTTGATTTGATTCACTGCCTTTCTGTTGCATGCTATTTCAAAGTATAGCAAGTGAAAGTTAAACAATTGATTGAATTTCAATGACCTAAAGATAAATTCACCAATTACATTGAAGTTCATCTATATTTAGCAGTGAAATATACTTACTTTGTGAATATTAACAACACTGTCAAACATACTAATTAAATCCATGTAGATTTAGCAACAGTTTTATTTTTACAATTTTGATTCACTTGATTAAAAGTTTAACATACAGACTAGTTAGAGAAAAGTCATTGTTTTGCCATGATTAGCCTTAACACACATCAGAATCATGCTAAACAACAACGGAAAGTATACTAATAATAATGCGTCGGTGGCACAACGGTTAGGACGCTCGCCGACCATGCACATGGTCCGGAGTTCGGTCCCCGGCCGATGCACTCCTTTACCTCGCTAAACCAGAAATAAAGCTGGTAAAGAGGAAAGGTTGGGAATGAGGCTAGCAACCCCATCCTGTAAAAAAACACTGCTACAGAAACTTCAAGCCTCTAGCTTGAAGCCCTATGTTCCACTGGGAACGTGGAGGAATAAAAAATAATAATAATAGCATCATTTTGAACTGTGTTTATATAATGTACAGAATTTTAAGCTGAGTTCACTGCATGATTAATTTCTCTGCGTCCAGTATCTTCAAATGAAAGATAAAGTGACAGTAGATCGTGTGACACAGTCTTATCTGACCTGAAGTGCAGAACCAATCCGTTATGATATATCTTCTTACTCTGCTTCGACAAATACATGAAAATTTGTTGAATGCCAATTATAAAAAGTGAATCAAGGATACCACTCAGGAACGGTTATCTCGTGTATTGGGATAAGCTGCCATCGAGGAAAATGCTTCTTCTCGTGTTTAATAGAAACTTGAGAAATACTCACCAGAGTAAACAACACCATTAGAGGTCATATTTTGCTGGACTTGAGTAAATAAGAGAAACTATATGCAATGTATTGATAGTGGTTTTCGGTAGCCTAAGTTTTAAGCAGGTCGCCCAGATCTTTACGATTCCAACTAAAATCATGAAATGTGATCGTTTAAACCGAGAATTATAAAAGATACTAAGATCTGACTTTGTAACATGGTATGGTGGGATACCATAGTTGTTTGGTGCTACGGTACTATGATTCTGCCGTCAACACTCACTTCAGCCTGTGATGAAAGCTGTTCCAAATAACTCAACCCACAATAAACCAGTCGATTAACGTTAATTAACGTTTCCCGTACTATAAGGTAAAATATAATGTGTGGGTGTGTGTCATGTCTAAAGACAAACCTACAAGCTGTAACAGTGATCAAACAAACTCTAGATAGACCCTGTATCTCTGATCGAATAAAACTGGGAAGGCTAACATTGAATTACTGGATGTTACGGTGGTTCGGAAAAGGCCAAATAAAAGCTATCAGAAGCTCTATTTTGTCACCAAATGGACAGAAGGAGAACCTTCAAAGTTATCTATTGCACTCCATAATAAAACTTTCGAATGGAATTTGAAGTCACCTTTTACACATTTGCGAAACTATGTGAATTCGAGTGAACAATTCTAATTCTACTTTTGTCTAGGTAAATTTAATGAACTCATTAAAACTGTCCACCTTTTCTTATTCTTCTCTTCCTTTGTACTTTCATTTAAACCCCGATAATCTATTCATCACTTCATCATCTTCAGTATTACGCCACTTTTAATTTTATACGATATTGACCTAATTTATTTATTGAATTGTTTGCATCATCATACTATCTTCTTTATTCGTATCACCAACTGCGTCAACTGCTTGTACTTTTGTTATCATTGACCTTATCATTATTACGATTATGATTATTATTATCAATATTATTATGATTGTCATTAATAATGACATATTTACAACATTCAACATACAATATTGATATGAATAATTTGGAATATACCCACAAATTAACAAACAACATATTTGAAGACATTAAATTCACAAGAGAAGAAGAATTAAAAAGCGAAAATTTCATTCTTCGATGGCTCAATCAAGAGAACTAACACAGAAATTTTAGAAACACAAGTATATAGAAAACCAACGCTCACACAGACCAAATACTCAACTATAATAGTAATAACTCGATAAACCACATTGTTTAGAAGAGTTCGAACATACTATAGCACATACTTGGCCTCCAAAGCCTCAGGATGGTCGGGGGTAGGTGCCTTGCGCTGCGGGTTGGCCACCCCTCCGCACACCTCTTGAAATGCTCCCATATGACCGGGTGTCTTACATAGCCTCTCCTGAGGAAGTCCTACTCACTGCCTTCACGTGGCGGAGGTGTTTTTCACCAAAGTGAGAGGGCGAAAGCGGATGCCCGGCGATCTTCACCGGGTTGACTGTCCATTGGATGACAGTCTAGGGGAGATGGCTAAACCCTGATTCCAAACCTCCAACGACTGGCGTATGAAGCTCACTGGAGCTCACCGGCAGACGTATGGACAAAGGGCTTGTTGGATGTCCTGGATGTCTGGCCTCATTCAAAAAGGCGAATGAACCGAACTCCGGTCACCGGCTGCCAATGGATAGTGGACTCCCTACTCCACTCCTACTGCCTTGTAGGTCACACTTGGTTGTGTAAAGGCTAGAGCTGCACTCTCAAACAAAAGGCCGAGCGATTCTGGAGACATCACTCGTACCAAACTCCCATGAAACTTCATGAACTCTCTTACAAACGTGGTACAGTCAAGGCTGATATGGAGTGCCTGGGGCTACAAACCGTCTACGGACTCCGTCTGTGGAACAAGAATTGGAAAACCCTGTCGCAAAACCTTGCATCAGATCGCCGCGCCTGGGCAGCGATGATTCGAGATGTTCATGAAGCCGGCTCATCCTCCCGTAGGAGATAGCCGAAGTAAAGTAAGTATACTATAGCACACCTGTGTTGAAGAGAATGGTGGAAAAATGTCTACTAACCATCTTCCAAAAGGATGGATATCCTCACAATTTCATCAAAAAGTGTTTTAAGTCCGAGTCATAGCACCAACAACAAGCAAACACCAGAGACCACAAGAAAATTCATCCCACTATGTATAGAAAAATATCTGTGAAATAGCAGCTAGGATATTAAGGCCGTTTGAGACAGATTTAGATAACAAGCCAACCAACACAATCGCTTCATTCGATATTGTGCTAACCAACAGATCCAACAAAAAGATAAAATTAATACCATTAAGAAAATAAACTGTATGAACTGCAATACAGATTACATCGGTCAAAGTAGGCGTCCCCCTCAAGTCCGACCGAATCCAAGAACACAAATTGACTATACAAAGACATAATATATATATATATATATATATATTCTTTGGTATTAATGCATGCGGACGATAATGAACACTAATTTGATTGTGATAATGTAGAGATTTAAATAGAGGAAACACCAGATAGTAATACCAGGGAATTCCTAGAAGCCTGGTACTCAAGTTAATCAGCATTTAACAAACACATTACTGTAGACCAAATTACCAGCTAATAAAGAGTAAATCATATGACTAGAAAGTTCAAATTCAAAGTCAATAAAAATGATCAATAAAGATATAAATTAACAACCAGTCACGACAATGGTCGCCAGGGGACACAATTATATTAATCATGGAGAAATCAGATGAGTTCATTTTATACTAAAACCTTCTCTGAGGACGACGAAAGCGTCTCAGTTAAATCGACCAGCTCAGATAACAACCAATTCAATGATAGTACACTTAAACACTAAACAAAACCATTAAAACTTACTTTTTCCACTGTGATGTATTGATTAGGTGAGTTAATGTCTCCGGTGAACAATATTTCACACTAGTTTCCAGTAATTCTGCGAATTCGTTCGACACATTATAAAAGTGCAAACAGTTGTTTTTGGATGATGATGATGATGACAAGCTAATATTGTCTGTACCTCCTTGATGCATGAGACTTGTAGACACACGACAGTCAGTTGATCCACCGTACTCATCACTATCACTAACCCCATCATTATCATTAGGAAGGATATAATTTGAATAATTCCAACTGCTGTTATTATTTCCATCAGCATCGCCACCACGTAATATAATTAAAATATGACGTATTTGCGCTTCAACCTCGTGACACGCTTCAGAGGAAAGCACAGACTTTGATACCCGAGAATTTATTTGGTCTGTCAGAACAAAGAGAAGAAGAAAGGCAGTGAAAATAACAAGAAATGCCATATGTGGATTTCAAATGACTAAACAAATAAAGTAACTCAGTTACACAAATATGTAACGATTTTATACATATTTCAGTCATACTCGAATAAAGACTACAACACTTTTATTTCTACAAAAAGAATTCAAATAATTTTTATTGTTTCAAGTTGAACATCACAGACTAATGTTAATTAGAGAACCATTGGAAGCCAGGAAGTATTGGTTAGCTGTTTCGTCCCAGTTCGGGACTGTTCGGAACTATGCACCCACGACACTATCAGGGATCGAAGTCAGGACCTTCAGGTTGCGACGACAAGCCGGTTGATCATTCAGCCACTTAGGCCACTTTGGTGCGACTGGCTGTCAGTGTCATCGATGAATACTTCTCTTCACACCCAACCTGGCTGTGGATTCACGGGCCATTTGATTCCGACCCAAGTGTGTGAAGGCCTAGGCTCGATCGCCAACGGGGTTGTGGGGGCGTATACTGTTGAACAGTCCCAAACTAGGAAGAAAAAGGCTGCCCAGAACTCAATGGCTTTCAATGGCTCTCTTACTGACATCAATCCGTGATCAAACTTAAACCAAATCAAATCCTTACAGAATAACTCTTGGAAATTAATGTCAATGTGTTTCACTTCGTCAGGCTGTCAATAATTTGATCATACTTTGCGATTGAAAAATCTACTTAAAACTTATTGAATGATAAGTAACAAACTAATCAAGTAAACGAAGCAACCAAGAGCCGATCGCTTAACAAGTATGTGGGAGAAAATGGAGGTGGATCGGACATACGTTGAGGAGGCCGTCGAATGACATCGCGCACAATACAGGCCATTGCTCGAGTAGAATCCAAATGGGAAGCGACGAGTGGATCATCAGTGCGAGGGTGACATGGAGGATATCGTGTGGCAAGTAGAGATGAGGGATTGTGGGCAACCATGATTCAAGTTGAAGAGAACGGCAGAAGATAGGACAAAGTGGAGATCTGTTGCTGAAGCCCTATGTTCCACTCGGAACCCAAGGGAATAATAATAATAAGTACTTCAAGGCAATTATCAACAACAGTGGGAGAATTATTGAAGCAATAACAACAACTCAAAGTTTTTTACAGCTTCTAAGGCTTTTCTATATTGTATCGACTTAAAATGAAGACCACCTCGAAATCTATGGACACAAGAATCCCTTCAAATAAACGTAAGCGTAACGCTATACTAAAAAAGTGCTTTTAAAAATGCACAAAAGCATGTGTAACTTTCATTTATTATTGATCTCATCAATGATGTGACAGATACTTTATAGTGAGTGATAGTGAGTAGGAGTAGCCTCGATATAAATAGAGAAGCATTTTACACAACATATATCATTGATTCTAAATTTAGAACTATTAATTGAATAGTTTTTATTTTAGTGATCGCTAAATTAACCACGATCAACAATCGATCAAAATGAAGCCTACAATGATTTTCGTCATAAAAAATAAAGACATAAAGAAAAGGAACAAGGAGAGAGTGAAATGGAAAGTAAGAAAATACAATACAATACATACACACTAATAAGTGAGTGAAAAAGTTGTGCACACTTTTATACGGACCTAATGGCCCAGAATTTGACGTGTTTAAGTGGGACCACTTCATCAAGCACACCACTGTTGATATTTGATGTTCAAATAAATCAATAAATAAAAGGTGCAATCAATCCATCCTCACACTAGAGAGTGTACTGCTTGAACCAAACATACCTTGAAATTATTTTTATACTTTGTAAACTCGAAACTACCAAAGACAATGATAACGAAATTTCAAAAATGCACCTAACCTAATTCTGTTTGGTGAGTTTACAGCTACTTGTTTTGAGTTTGAAAAAGAAAGCTAGAAAAAAGTACACATGTACTTACGCATTAGCAATACAAGAGTCAACGGTCCAATTGATTTCATTGACTTCATATATTGCATAAATGGATATAATTCATCTTGATGACTTAAAAGAGTATCCAAATGAATTAATGATGGCGGCTAAATATAAAAACGGCAGTCAAAAGAACTGATTATTGTTAAGCAGGATAAACAGCAAATAAGGTTATTTTCTTTAAAAATGAAATTCTGATTATTAATTGTAACCACATAAATCTGCCACCTGAAGTAATGACTACCAGTAGTGTCCGTCAAGGATGCCCGGTGTTTCCATTTCTGTTTAGTCTCATCATATTTGTTAATAATGGAATTGACCCTATCGGATATTAGCAACTTATGGACTGGCTTGTTACCGGGGGACAGTCCCGTCGACTTACAGTATGCGAATGATATTATCCTCCAAGGTGAAGATGGTGACAAGATTCAGAATCTTCCGAACACATTGAGCAGAAATTTTCAGATGTTTTTTATGAGAATTACTCCTGTCAAATGTAAGATGATGCTGCAGGACTTGACTGCACCGACTCCTAGCTTAAAGATAGGGAGTTAAGTGGTGGAGCGTGTTGACTACTTCACAAGTTTGGGAAGTCGCATAGGCCTCAATGAACTGATTGCTGGTGAAATCACGGATACAAGAGGCTCATGTGGTATTTGCCAAATTACGTCACCTCTGGCGTAGATATGATACCGGGCTATCGAACAATCGATGTGTGTACTGCGCAGTAGTTCGCTCTGTCCTCTTTTATGGCTGTGAGACGTAGCAATTGAAAATGAAGGATGTGAAAAGACAAGTGGCACTTGAACACAATTGTTTGCGATCTATCTCTAAACACAAGGATTCAAAGCTTTAGGCTGAGAAGTTTCAACAGCGCTTACGAGGTTTTCACGGGGTGGGGTTGCTATCCTGACATCCAAACTTTCTCTTTTGGGGGGCTTAACATCGACTAGGCGAGGTTTAAGAGTGCGTCGGCCGGGGAGTGAACCCGGACCACTTCCTTGGCTGACAGGCACTCTACCTCTGGGCCACCGATGTAGAAACAGGTTAATAGAGGGGTGTTGTTTTATCGAACAACTACATGAACAGCTTGAAACTAACTAAATCACCAGTTTTGATTCGTAGTATGAACTATGTTATGATGGAGTGCTACTGGGTTGAGGGTTCGTTTAACTTGACTAGAATGCACCTCTAGACACGACACTACAACCAACTGACCAATTTAAAATATTCGCCACACCGAGATAGACACAAAAGTTAGATTCAACTGCGACAGCAATGTTAATTGCTCAAATAACGGGTGACGAGTGACAGTCACGTTTTACTCTAACTATTTCTATTCAGTGGGATTGTGACAGAAGAGAAATCAGTCAAACAGGAAAATACAACCAGTTCACTTCTAAATTAAACATCAGTCAATCTCATTATGATATCCATTAATATGAAGAAAGATGGCTAGAAAGTATGAGAATCATTTCTACAGGATGGTAAACTACTGTAACTGTTCAGTCCTATGTATGTTGACCGAAAGTTATCAATCAGATGTAAACAGACAGTGTTGCTCATTGCCTTATACTATAGGATTACAAGAAGTAACTTGGCAAAAATAATAAATGATACAAAAATTTATCTAAATGAAATTGATAACGTACCTTTTTAGATAACCACTTTTGCCAGTCATGAATATATGCTTCAAGAAGAGGGACATGTTCAGAACTTTCCTTCCTCAATGGTTCTGCATTCTGTAAAAAGAATAAAATTTATGTTTTATCAATAGGATTAAGTGTAGCTTTGTTCCGCGGAAGCAAGAACAAGTAAAGCATCTGATTCCATTAGCCTTTGAAGTGTCAAGCATTCCAGTTATGTCTTTAACACTTCCAGTTGAAAAATTTACTCAACTGAATAGTTTTCTAATATGCCTTGTTGAATCTGATAATACAGGAAAGTGAAATTTTTGATTTAGAAATAAATAGCCTTAGTAACAAACCACAGGTGCACCGGTTACCATCTATTAGACTTAATAAGACCCAATGTATAAACTACTTAGGAATAGTTGAACTGTTAAAATCACTAGAATAAAGCATGGTTTAACGCCAGCATGGTAGCATACTTCCCAGAAGACATTATGGCTAACTGTCGAATCCATGACTGAAGGTTGATGTGCCGGATTTCTAACTTTTATCATTACATAAGCTATTTTCGGTGGGATAATTATTCATTGAGGCTTTACTAAGCCAATAAGTGTTTGTAAGACTAAAAATACTCACCATAAAAGTTAGTATGGTTCATACTACGATAGAAGTCTAAGGACATCTATGAGCTTCCATACCCACTCAACCCTCATGTTTTTCTATATTTCTATTCTTTCTGCTTCATATTTCTGCCTATTATTTTTTCTTGGATCGAATTTTTACCTCCTTCTGTCTACCTCTATGGGCTACATGGAGAATAACAACTTGAACTGTTGCATTTCTGTGTAAAGTTCTATGTTGGAACTCAATCAGTCAGGAATATAAGGTGTATATCTGCGTGATACCTGAAAAGAGTTAGACTGTATGTAGGTGTTTTCTTCTTATGATTAGCATTCCTGTGGCGCATCTTGTAGCTGAAAGAAGACAAATCAGAAAGAATTGGCCGTAGAAACAGTGTTTCCAGTGTAAAGCAGAAAACTCGACGAAATCTGTGTCTGAACACTCTGTTGAAGAGTCTAATACACCTACATAAAAGCTATCCAGTATATTCCTCGAACCAATCACATAATCTCCTACAGACAGATCAAGTAAGCACATCGGTTAACTAGGAACAATATAATATACTATGAGGACAGAGAAAATTCATGTTAACAGAAAGACTTACTGTATTATCCGTAAAACATAGTAGAATTAATTGATTGAGAAAATCCTTCGTGTATTGATTGCGATTTATGGTGACAATATAGAAAATCATACAAAACCATAATTAGTTATGCTTTATTATTACTATTATTATTATTAACTATCATTTGACTTCATGTGATAGGAAGTCAAGAAAAATGGACTTGAAAGACACTTAAAATCTAAGAAGAAACCAACAAAGACGACCCGTACCTTCTCGAACACTAATCCTTTCATTTGCTTATTTTTTACAGACTAACTAACAGTTGACGCATAAACTGGAAACCGTCTCACACCAATGAATTTTATTACATCTTTTCACATTTTACGTGTCATATTTTATCTTTGTGATTAAAAATCGACAAAATAAACACACTCCAAATACCTCATAGGACTACAACTATCCTACAGCTTATATTATTCAGCCGTATGTATCTGCAATATAACAGTGTTCATTTCATGGCGGTAAGAAAGCTCAACAGGCCAAGACTGAGTTACCTAAAAAACTCCTCAATTCTAATTATTTCTAAACGATTAATACTAAAAGATAGTTTCATATTATGATTTGGGAATTTATCACAATTGTCAAACAAGAGAGAAAATTAGAGGTTTACAGAAAACGATATCATTCAGCTAATGAATGTGATACCACCAATGACCCACATAATTCAGTACAATGGGGTCATCTTTGAGTGTTTTAATGAGCCTTTGTGCTGACCTTTAAATTAATTGACCATACAAAAAAGTCAAATTTAAAGTTCGCTAATAGTTCGCTAGTACTATGATCTGCTGTTTTGCGCTAAATAGTTTGTGGAGAAACTGAACAATTTTTCGACAATTCTCATAAAACCAAAAGATGAATGTTGACTTCCGCACCACCCAGTTTGAATATCATGCGTCAGATCCTCTGACTGGATACGAATATCAATCAACGTGCTCAAAAGTACATAAGTGTATGTTTATTGCTGTTTGATTTTTTCAAACGGCTTTTTGACCAATAAATATGATCCCACGATGTTTTAAAAATACTTACCAACCACTCAGTTCAAATACCAACTACTTATTAAAAGTTTACCCTTAAATGACAGACGATCCGTATCCTCTGTGCTTGGATTAAGATTAAACCAGCCACACTTTAATACAGCACACAAACAAGAAGCAAAGAGGAAAAGTTAACGTGCGAATAAAACAAACAAAAATGAGATAAAAACCAAACAACAGTTAATACAAGATACTCTAAATATTCATAATAAAGAGTGAACATTTATTTGTGCCTCTTGTAATCTTGTTCAAAGTACGATCAAAGTTGAAAAGTGAAATGACGAAAAAATAAATTAGCATAATAATGCCTAAAAATCAGCCATAGATGTGAAGTTCATTGACTCAGCTAGTAGTAAATCAGATCAAGTAAAAGAAATGCTAATTAACAGGACAAAAAAGGTGTGTGTGCGTGGTAGTAGAAACATGCAAATTATGCAAACATTAGACAGAGAGGCTTGAGAAAATGCAGTTAACCAGTAGATGAGATTGTAAGCTGCCATCAATCCAGATGATTTGGGTGTATTTTATGTATGCCTAACCACTGGCTTACATGAAAGTGAAATACTAACTGTTGTAAGATTTAAGTTAAATAAAGTTATGGATGATAAGACCAAAGTATACTACCAACTAATGAATGATACCACTGATTGTTCGTTCGAATTGTAGAAGATTTTTTAGCCAACATTCGATACCTAACTAAAACAGATAGTTACAGACTACGGAGGATGCGGCCCAGTGCTTCACATACATTTTTACCCTAATCCTGGTCGTCCACTATACAGCGATAGTAGAAAGTCCTCATTCTAATAAAAGTTGAATAAATCGTAAAAGTACTTACTAGGTTATTTCTGAGTTTTATCAACTACCACATTCAAAACAGTTCTTTAAATATTATTTTGTCTAAAATTTAAACACAAAATATTTCAATGTGATGTTGTAAAAGATTCGACTTACAGAATTAGCTAAAATGTCCATAGCCGGTAGCAGAACACAAGTGGATAGTATTTCTATCAGCAAACTATATGCTGATCTAAAAAAGAACCAATCAAGAAGAATAGAATGTAGCAAAGAAGGATTTGAAAACGTAAGCAATCTGCCAAGGTTGACTTCGTCATAAAACTGACACCAACTGGGAGAATTACTGAAAATCCCACCATTAACTACTGATAGACTAAACGGCTTAAGAACGCAGAATTTTGCTAGAGAAAAATGCATCAGTTATAGCTGTTACACTTTAAAAAAGCACAAATAATAGTAAAGAAAAAGAATATAATGAAACTGTAATGGACTAAGATTTATGGAAGAAAGAAAGATTAAATTATAATTTGTGATTTTTAGCATTTAGAAAATGACGAGCAAATATACCTGAGTGAATGAGAAAGCTTTGCGCTAGAACACCATGGCTCTTCAACAATTGATCGCTAACATCCAGAGGACTTCAGTTAGCCAATCTATACACATATATGTGACCCAGATTTGAAGTCAACAAGTTCATGAACTGATGCTTTTTCTCTGACCACATCTAGTTCTTTTCTCACTTAACACTACTTTAGATAATATAACATTTTCAGGAAAACGGTGGTTTGGCATGCATAAAACACGTCCCAGCTACTCAATCGATGGAGATTCACAACTTCATCGAACAGCTGTATATTAAATAACACTCTTCCTTGTTCAAAATCGCGAGGACCACAACCAGGCAACCTTCAGCTCCATATCGCTCTCAAACCAACAGCCAAAGACTGCATGAATTAATACCATGTTTTGATCTGACCACTCATAACTCTTTTCCAACTGAATCTTAATGCCAGCTAACAGTGTTTCTTAACTGACTGACTGAATTTCAACATAAAACTCTATACAGAAGTGCAGCAGTTAAAGCTGCCGTATCCCATGCAGCACACAAATTTAGACGAAAGAGAGAGAAAAGAGATTCGAAAGTACTGTAAAAAGCAGAAACGTGAGGAATAAAGAATAGTAAAATGAAGAAACATTAGTTTAATGAATATGGGAGATCACAAAGAATGAATGCATCTGCACCAATGAGAACGATTCCGAGTAATATCCTCAATAGTCTCTAGCCATTGATCCTTAGCGGTGGCTCGATTTGCGTAACACATATCATAGTCATTTCAATAAATGGGGTCACTTCCTCTGCTTATTTAACACAGTACGCCTAACATTCCTTCTGATTATTTCGTACCATCTAACGCGAGAAACTGGACGCAGACACCTATGGTTAAAAACCACTAATCTTTCTATTCCTTCCAATCTCGATGACCATGTCTTACAGCCGTGAAAGATGGAGGAACTGCTGCACATTTCACACGTTCTTCAGTAGATGGCCCAAAATGATACAAGTTAGCAAACACCAAACAAGCCTTTTGAACGCTTGATCATATTTTTTTTAGTAATCAGTTCATTAAAGGCTAATGCAATTCCAAAAATAAGTGAAATAATCAACACATTAAACAACTTCACTCCTCATCTCTAAACTAGGAGTTATTTATTTAAACGCAGAAAAACTTGGTACAATATGGCACCAAGAAAGATGCGCCACACAATAATAATAAAACAACATAGATTAAAAGTAAAAATATAGGTAGAAAACGAATAAAGAACTTCATCAGGAAGGAAAACAGTCATGTTTAACAAGTTCAAACAGTATTCATTAACTATCATCAGGAAGGGAAGAAAGAAGGAAATTGCAACACGTTCGCCATTGATTACGATTCTTGGCCATATCCGATAACGTTTCGAGCCATCGATTCGAGCTATCTCGCGGACCCCAACCAGGGAGTCGTGACACACCAACCGATGCTAATCTAGCACAAATATCCTTCATCCCACGACGCCACGTCATGGACTGACCACCCCTCCGCCTTTTCCATCCCGTCCCAGGGCTAGCGAACAGAGACCTGTACGGAAGCCTCTGGGATGACATTCGCAGCACATGTCCAAGCCACCGGAGCTGGTGTTTCCAGATGACGACACTCAATGAATGGTGATCTCCACTGTGTTCAAACACACGCCGCCGAACCTCAGAATTACTCACGCGATGATGCCATCGAACGCAAGCAATCCTGCGGAGACAGCGATGATCGAACACGCAGAGTCGCCGCACATCCTCAGCTCGGAGAGGCCAGGTTTCACAGGCGTAGAGCAAGGCAGCCCGCACCGAAGCATTGTATACCCGACCTTTGACAGCCAGGCTAACATCGCGACGGCGCCAGAGGTGGCACAAGTTGATGTATGCCACCCTAGCCTTCATTATACGGTTGGAAATCTCATCCGTCACCCCTCCGCCAGCACTCACACAACTACCCAGATACACAAACTTATCAACAACTTCAAGCGGTTCACCCGCAAGAGTGAGTGCAGGTACAGGCTCCTGCCAATCTTGTAACAGTACTTTGCACTTAGACGGTGCAAAGCACATACCATACTTACAGACACTGATCGCCAACTGATTAAGTGCGATTTGGGCAGCCTGCATGCTATCGCACAGTAAGACGATATCGTCTGCATACTCGAGGTCGAAAAGTCTATCTCCAGGTAGCAGATCTACACCACCTTCACGCACATCCTTCAGAGCTGACTCCAGAATGTCATCGATGGCAAAGTTAAAGAGAAATGGAGAGATTGGGCAACCCTGTCTAACCCCACTGTTGGTTGGGAACAGTGATGATAGTTGGTTGTATGCCCTCACTCTACCTGAGGTGTTTCTGTATAGGGCTTTCAAGATGTTAACAAATTTCTCAGGTACACCTCTCTCTAACAGACAGTTCCAGAGCACAGTTCTGTCCAACGAATCGAAGGCAGCCCTAATATCAAGAAACACAACGATCGTTGGCCTGCAATACGTGTGGCGGTGTTCCAACAACTGACGAAGGGTGAACACATGATCAATGCATCCACGACCTGAACGAAACCCAGCCTGCTCTTCGCGAATCAATCCTTCACGTATTTTGCACAGCCTGCGAAGCAAGACAGAAGCCAATAATTTAGACGCGACTGGTAGCAGACTGATACCCCTGTGATTGTCACACGAATTACGTCGACCCTTTTTAAAGATAGGGACGATGATGGCTTCGTTCCACATTGATGGTACACTCTCAGTTTCCCATACCTTCCTGAACAACCCAGTTAGAGCCATTGTGAGAGTCTCGCCACAATCTTTAAAAAGAGCCGGGGGTAAATTGTCTGGGCCGGGCGCCTTACGGCGTTTTAACACTTGGAGTTCCTTACGGACCTCCGCTTCGGTGGGTGGGTCGGCCGAACTTTATCCTAAATAATGAATTGATATTTTATTCGGAGAGCTAGACATGCAGTGACCTTGCATATCGCAGTGACCCAACGAGCTACACTGGCTGGAACTTAAGTTCCTGTAGGTCCTACCATGCCAGAAAGGTTGTTTGGATAGCGGTTAGACAAAAAGCAGCTACCCAACCCAATGCCATGACTCAAACAAAAACACAAAATATCATGCCGGATCGGTCGGGGCCCGGATTAACAACGACCGCGCTTCCTGCTGCCGTGTCACAGGGCAGAAGTGATAAATACGCTACTGAGACACACCAAATAAAAAAGAACAAACAAAAGCAGGCCGTGTGTGACCGGCCTCAAGCAGTTGTCCCTTGGGCTCTGCGGTCACGCAACCAACTTCCACGGTGTGGGCAGCCGGGAAGTAACAATCGCCCTCACACTCCAAAGTGCACGCAAAACCTCTCTAATCCTCACTCATCTTTGTATCCATCTTCATCTCTATTATCTTGCCTTCCTTCTACCAATGCAACTCCTCTACTTGATGGCCCTTCACTTTCTCTTCAATCTGTGTGCACTGATAACGATGGAAGCCAAAAAGCCACCATCAGTAGTCCTAAAAGACAGTGACCTTGCCTCTGAATCTTACCTACGAACAATATCACAGCTATACACATGCATCATGGGACTCTATATCCAGGTGTTTTAGAAGGAAAGGAGACCTCAGACATTCCCTGAATCAATAATTTATTCCATTGCAATGTGTTCGTCTCCGTTAACGGCTTTATGTCAGCAGTCACTGATCTTTTCTAACTCCTCAGAGCCGGAAGGTAACATAAATAATTTGGTGGTCGTTTCAGGGAAACACCCTTACTGTTGTTACATCAACTGTATGACTTAGCCGTTGAGTCCCAGCTATAATGTGAACAGATTATGACGGTAACTGCTTTAAGTCCAGTAACTGTTCAAGAGACATTCCTAGCAAGGTAGGACAGTCAGGAACATCAGTTCGAACCAGTATGAGTTGTTGTGTCACTGAGATATGCAAGTCCAAAAACTTCGTTCATGTGACGGATGCTAGTCACAACTCAACAACGGAATGACGCATAATTGTTAATTTTTCCGGAGTTTCGACTAAATTTAGGATGAATTTCATCACAGACTATGAGAATCGTACTATGTCGTGAGTCAATAGATATTTGAAATTACAGAACACTCTACTCCAACATTTTTGAAATTAACTCCTATGTGTATAGAGAAGAGGGATTGCAAACCCCAGTGCTACTAGGTTTTCAATGGTTATTCAGTTTGGTGTCAGACAGTTACGAAATCTACCCTGGAGTTACTAAAGCCTGCTAGCCACAAAACCTATATTTATACATATATAATAACTGAAATCAGCATAAAACTCAAGATACTGCATGCATGTTTATTTGCTACACGGTATCGCTAAACATAGTTCTGTCCTCAATAAGTATAAATGGTTTTCGACTACTATTAACCTAACTGGAAACAGATGTCCTAACAGATGATATACACAGCATTCGATCATTAAACACAGTGAATGACACTTAGAGAAAATTCCGCAAGAATTATCCCTAATGGTAAACTTCCAACTTAAATCTCTTATATCAGCATAGTATATGTGAACATGCGTTTAGCTTACCGCCGATGAACAATACGAATAATCTTTGTATCTAACGTTGACGGAGGCTATTAGAAAGAAACTAGCTGGAAAGCTATGCAAACCTGAAGACTATGTCATTCCCAGTATTCTAGATAATTTTTAGCCATGATGAAAGGTTATGGGAAATTATTACCCCAGATATTGATTCGGTGATTAACCTCTCTCTTCGCCTAGCTATATTACTTTAAAATACTTTCACTTTTTAAAAAGTAATCTAGTTAAGTGGAGAGGGAGGTTAATCACCAAATCAACATCAAATATGTTCAGTCAAAATGACGCAAAACCAATACCAGATATATGCAATGGAAAACAGTAGAGAGTAAAGCCATTTAAAACAAGTTATCAAGTCGTGCGAATACATTGAGATATGATTATCAGCATCCAGTTGCTACTACTGTCAGTGTGTTACATAAAATAAACTCATCTAACGGGTACCTTCTTCTTTACGTAAGTAGCTTCTTTTAAAACACACTATTACATTCCACAACAGTATTTGTCAATAGATATTAGAAACTATTCTCAAAAACTTCATGTGAGGTAGTCCTCATCACACAGCAAAACCAGTTAGAGAAACACCAAATACCAAGTAGTACTGGAATCATCTTTCATCGAATCTTGAAACAGTTATTTAGCCAGATATACCGGAAGTTGAAAGCTGAGAAACCGGCCATTAAATTCTGTCAAAGCAGTGACTAAGCCATAACGAGCTAATCTTGAGGCTTAACAGTCTTGTTTCATATTCCATCGATTGATGAATGAGCACTGCAAAATATTTGAAGATTACAACAAAACACCTACCTAGTAACCACTATTACTGAAATATCCTGTAACCAGTATTGGTTTATAACAAAAACTACATTGAAATCAGTCTCTCAGTAGACCTGCAAATGAATAACTTGAAAAAGCTGACCTATATCTTACAACTATAGACTATAGATTTTAAATACTACCCTATTTCGCAATCAAAGTTGAAGTGAATTTAAAACCACAAGACAGATTATTTAACAATATCAGTTCTTAACAAATAAGTTGAATATCCTCAATTTTTAAACTTCATCTATTTATTTAGCTGCTCTGAACAACATAATAGAGACTGCCACTGCACAGATCTCCCGTTATACTATGCCTGTTTCCCTTTTTAACTAACACTACAGCAATCTAACTAAATGTGAGTAGGTAATAAACAAACATAAAGATATGATAATATATGTACTTGACTTACGGATTACATCCTAGTTTCACCAACTTCTGAAAACCCAAAGCACCACTGGAAGCACTCCGAGGAACTGACGGCTTATTTGGCACGGCTGAACTGGACTGTAAACGTCCAGGTGACATATGCATCATGCGATTACGTCGAGCGCGAGGAACATGATCAACAGAAGGTTCTCCTGACTTATGTATATCTGGACAAGTAAGACTAGGCGGCAGACCCAAAAATGGTAACAGACGACTCACCACCGCGCGTAAATACATTACTTCAGCTTGTCTAGAATACAGGGCTGGATGTAATCGATCACCGAAAGCACATAAAATAATTTCTTCAGAACAAGATTTCAAAGATCTAAACGAGTATTTGATAATGACAAAAATACTTATACAAGTCAAATACCTTTTTTGAAAATGCTTCTGTTTCATTGCCTGGACAGTATTATGCTCTTCACCAACAAGAGTAGAATTAAATTTATCTATAAAAAGAGTACCTCACGTCAAAAGAAATCAACAAAATTAACAAATAATTTATAACAATGCCGGATATATGAATTCAAAAGCCACACGACTTTAAGAAAACAAACAAAGTCCATTAGGAGTAGTCAGGGTCACATCGCATGCTTTGGTTTGGGATAATATGAAGTCACGTGGTAATACAGAAAAGATGCACATTTGTTTCCATGTAAATTCTAATGAACTAGGCTGGGTAAACTGACTCAATGTTACTTACAAACAAATTAAATTCATAAAGGTGATTACTTAAGTCAACGGTGGATGCTTATATATTATTTTCCCAAACCACACTACTTCTGTACAACCATTGTTACTCACAACTCTCCTACTGCAGCTACTATAGTCTTGTATTACATCTAGACCACCTTAGTGAATGACTCCTACTTTACTCGCGAATAGCGTCTTATTTTCAATCAAAATATTAGCTTTCCTTGAAAACAGAAAACACAGTTATATTGGAAAGCTACTTGCGAAATTCGTTAAAGTTAAAAGTTAATCTTTTACTGGTGTCTATAAATGCATCAATCGTTCACCAATATCATGACTGATGATAGTTTTGAGAGATATGACAGATGCTTACGTAGTTTGTAAGCCCTTGAGACACTCGGTTATCTCTACAGAAATCGCGCTTTTAAGTCACTAGATAGTGTATATACAAATAAAGAACAACAACACGATTTCAAAGTTATACTAAAAAAACAAGTATACATGACACGAATTCCAAAAAACTCAATTTAAATGAATAATACTTATATCCCTTAACGTTTTTAATGGAGGTTGAGTGACAACAATATTTTCATGCTAAGAACCTTAATTAAATATACATTGTGATTTGCATTTTCCAACTAATGGATTGTGAAAAGCAAGCTGTCTCCGAGTCTAAACGTGGTTTCAACATTAACAAATTTGCCAATAATTACGATGAAACCACAAAAATAATTCTAGAATAATAATTGCTCAAATAATTTGAGCAACCAGTTGCAAACTGCACAAGTATACTTTAGAAATGTCTCGTTATATTGTAGTAAAACATTTGGATATCAACATTTAGCTAATAAATTGATTTTAATCTTAGTACAGCGATAAGTGTGGATATTTGCCTAAAAGCATTAAAATTTTACACAGTGCTGACCCAAATGTAAATGTCACCATCAGAATGCCGAGTTGATTGAAAACGCAAAACCACAGAAACATCAAACAGCCAAAAACCAACGACGTAAGAGTAAAGCTAATGAAACAGATGCAATGCAGTCATGTTAACAGAATTAATTTTTTTAAGATTAAACCCTTTTCTTTGTTTTAAATAAATTATTGTGATATACGTCGATTAGTAGCATAAAACTACTCAGTTGAACGTTAAACATAAGAACCAAACGAAGTGCCAAGTGACGCTGTTTGTAATTCTTGGTTTATATATATATATATATATATATATATATGTAATTAAGAGCTCACCTGAACTAGCAAGGGATAAGATATTTACAACATGGTCAAAGAAGTGCGGTATAAACCTATGAATGAGAAACTCCGAAAATTCAACCTACAAACGAATATATACATAAGGTAGTACCTACGTTTTTCACTCTCTGCACAATAATAGCACAAGCATATTGTACAAACATTTTCAGCTGGATCATGAAGTCTGGATTTGAAGTCAAAGGCCTGAAGTTACAGCAGGAAATAATGAAACCTACTTATACCAAAAGTCGATGTATTCCTTCAGTAGCAAGTCGAAAATCTAAAGATAAATAACATTATTCAGAATGGATTACCGTTTGTAAAGCCGCATTCGACCTACTGCCAATGGTAACTTTTGTGTGATCAAAATAAGTATCCGGAGACCTTAAATTGCAACGTGAACAGTATATTTCCTTAACTTACTCATGCGAATGCTTCCATGATGCTAAATACTCACTCGTGGGTGTTGAAAGTGTCTCTCTAAACACGCTAGTTTGCTGAATCCTTTTACTCACAGTATATTTGCTGTGAATATCAATGGTCAAATTAAAGGTTTCTATTACCTCACTGCGAAACAAAAGACGTAACCCATCAGTGCAGCTGATAGTACTATGCTAATAAATACTATCATAACTTATTGGACACCCATGACAATATATTCACAACGAATCATTCCAACACAAATTTCGGACGTTTGTAGTAGCTTGGATTACGTAACTATTTGTGTCGTATTACTTTGACGTAAAAGTTAGTACCAAAATTATTTAAGCAGCAGATATACAAATTTCCGGGTATAGTTCCTATTACTCGACCAAAATATTCAGAAGATATCAAATGTTTTTAAAAGAAGACTTGAAGTTCTAATTTATGCTGAAGAAGCAGTACAGAATAAACATCTAGTGCAGTCACATCACGATGTCAACCTTCACAAGTAACGCAAACTTTATACTACCCACTATCGAGATTCAGATTCAGTTGATATGGATAGAAGGCTCTTGTGGCCTGTGTTAATCCTTGCAAAATATATCTCTGCAGAGATCTAACTTCTCTTTGAAAGCGTCCACCGATGGAGCTGTTACTACTGAATCAGGTAAGGAGTTCCAGTCGTTGAGCACTCTGTGAGAGAATCTAAATTCTGCGCGTATTTTAATCGTCCTCGGTTTGAGCACCTTTTTGCGGTGACCCCGTAAATGTATCCTAGAAGGGGAGAAAAGTTTAGAAAGGTCAGTTCCTAAATCACCCTTAAGTATACGGTATGCTAGAATTAAGTGCTATGGCCAACTGCTCTGGGGAGTTGAATGTGACACTTAGCAGCTTTGGAGATCTAATCAGTGTGGGATGAGCGGGGCGAGGTAGTTAGGAAATGGAGATGGCTCCAGAAGCGCCAAGGGCCATCTGAGACGACAGCCATCTCCACTGTTGTACGTCATGCATGTGTTTTTCACAAGAAGTGCCCGTTTCCAGCTCCGGAACACCGTGTACCACCATAGAGGTAGAAGGCATCAGTTCCGGTGACTCCCTCACCATTTGTCTGATAGCCCATGGTCTGTCTTGTCTTACCCTTATGTTCGAACTTCTGTCGATGGCTAGTACCTGAGCCATCAATAGTACCTTTTCGGCCTCTTCGGCAGAGTCCACTGTAACCCTTAATGGGGGTGGCTTACCTTGAGGCGTGTGGACACCCCTGTACAGCCTGCACAATTTCACTGAACTAATGTTCAGACCTAATTTATTGCACTCCATTATGGATAAGATTTTATTTTCATAAATCACACAGTGTTACACAGTAATATTAACTGATGACGTTTTGAGCACAAATTATTGCTCATAATCATATCAAGTTACTCACACAACTTTTTCCTTTATTTATATATATGTATGAAATTGACTAGATATTTGAATAAAAATCAATATGTGTTATGGATCAAATACAATCAGATGGGAAATAAGATGAATGTTCTTATAGTTATAATAAGTAACTTGTTAGGATGCTGTGATGTGCTTAATTGAAATAGAATTTTAAGATTATTTATTATCCTCTTCTGATTTGACTGGTGGTAATAATATCTTCAATATTTCTGGCATTTGCATTGAGTCACTTCTGTTGCATGTGTTGGGTGTAGATTCAATGGACCAGGATTCAGTAATCAATCTCTCCACCTACATAGATTACTTCTTAGAATCTTAACCCTCTCCCACCCTATTGTGTGGTTGTGTGTCATTGCATGTAGTGCAATTGCTGAGCTTTTTTCTAAATTACTTATCTTCTCGGACCACTGTTACTGATCAAACAGGTACGTTAAAGAGGATAAGAGAACCAGAAAGATTTAACCTCAGATTTAGGTTTGGCCTTTGGCTGCTTGCTTTCCTTTGCAGCGTCAGCAACTTTAGGTTTCATCAGGTTCTGGCCAGCCTTTGTTGTGTTGCCGAGCTTGCTTGTGGATGCAAGTGGTACTTTTCTAATTCTCTCTTCCTTTGATTTTGTGGGTCCAACCTTTTGAATGTTCACCTTATGAAGATTGGCATTTTCAGTCAGTAGGACTGGAGTGTCCTACTTACTATCTGTGCCAAGTTTTGGCGGTGTGGTGTTAGCAGGTGGGGAGCTGCATAAGACCTTGTTGGGACACAAGAGCGACTTGTTGTTTCTGCTATCCGCAGACACGCTCTGTGGGACTATGCCAGGGTGACAAAGTGGAGAGATGTACGAAAACCACGGGCACGGGTTATTTCTCAGAAACTCGTAGTATGCTTTCGGCACCTCTTTGTCACAACAGCAGTGCACCCACCGTGTGCAAAAATTGCATTCAAACGCTGAGTCAGCTTTAGAAACTATGATACTGCACGCCTGGCATTCGTCTCCCTTACTTGATGACGCCTTCGAGGTCTTATGACGTCTTGAGCGTTTCCTTTTAGGTTTGCTGTGTTTCACACACTGGCTTTCAGTTGATGCAGGTGTAGTTTCTTGTCCCCCTGGTATTGCCCGTGCCGTTTCAGTACTAGACTGTAGCAATGCAGTCGTAGTATTAGGACAGATGAGACCTACACGAGTCTTTAGGATCGGTATGCGACATGAGGTTGATGTCCCTGGGTTTTCGCCTTCTCTGGCTGAAGCCCTTGTGATTACAGAGTAAGGTGTTTTAGTGCCATTTCTAAGGCTACTTTCGACAGCTATATTAACAATCACTAAAACTTATGCTGTATAAGAATAAGAGTGCAACAGTATCTACCCGCAAGAACAAAGATAAGACCGAAAAAGTACAAGACAAGGAAAAGAAAAGGTTTTCGACTTTACCTAGTACTTTGTGGATGATCGGCTTCGCAGTAATCACGTGGTAGACCAACAAGTCTTGTTTATCTAAACGAGTAAGGAAGATGCTGCTACAAAAATAGCACCTGAAGCACACAAAGATTCAATAAGTACAGAGGGCTCTTTTTGCATATGTTAATCATCGCGATATATATCTCTGCAGAGATCCAGTTTCTTTTTGAAAGCGTCCACCGATTTAGCTGTTACTACTGAATCAGGTGAGCGGTTCCAGTCGTTGAGCACTCTGTGAGAGAACCTAAATTCCATACGTGTTTTATTCGACTTCGGTTTGAGCACCTTCTTGTGGTGACTTCGTAAATGCATCCTAGAGGGAGAGAAAAGGTATGGAAGGTCAATCCTTAAATCACCCTTGAATATACGGTAAGCCAAAATTAAGTCGCCTCTTCTCCTTCGGTATGATAATGGGAAGAGATTTACATGCTCTATCCTCATGTCATAAGGAAGGTGCGAGATACCACTAACTAATTTCGTTCCTACTCTCTGTACTGTTTCCAGGGTATGTGCCTCCTTTTTGAAACGTGGACCCACTGCTTGTACGCACTATTCTAGATGAGTCCTGACATTTGTTGCATAGAGTACTTGGAACGTACCTTCGTCTAATCGTTTGAAAGCCCTTCGAAGTGCCCATAGCAGTCGAAAAGCCTTAGCTACGGATCGATTACAGTTTGACGTTGTTTATAAGTCATGGCTAACAATAATTCCTAAGTCCTTTTGTTCCCTAACATCTGGCAGTTCTGTTTCCCCTCCATGGAGTACGACGTGTAAGACTTCTGACTTAGGTGCATTACCGCTCTTTTCTTGGGATTAATTTCTGGACGCCAAAGGTTAGCCCATTCAGCTAGTTTACCTAGGTCGTTTTGTAGTACCAACCTATCATTGTTACTTTATACGGTTTTTCATATCTTAATATCGTCCGCAAAGAGTAAGGAAGATGAGGTAAGAATTTTCGGCACTTCATTTACGTATAAAAGGAACGGCAGGGGGCCAAGTACAGTTCCCTGAGGTACTCCAATTAGCACTGCTTTCCACCCTGAGAGTACACCATTAACCCTTACCTTCTGCCTCCTATCCATCAAGTAGTCATTAAACCACTCTCATAAGCGTTGGTCTAATCCAAAATGTTTAAGTTTACTAAGAAGACCTAAATGGGATACCTTATTGAATGCTTTACTGAGATCGATAAATACAAAGTCCAGTAGATGGTTTTTATCCCTAGTCTCGACCCAATCTTCCCTAGCTAAGAGTAAGTTTGTCAAGCAGGATAGTCCTGGTCGGGATCTATGCTGTTCCACTGCCAGGAGGCAATGAGCTAAGAAATGATCCCTTATGACTTTTTCTAACACCTTTGTTAATGTATATATTTCCTATCTATGTAGGACACACCCGTTGTACAGGCATGGATAAGTATTATTTAAATTACATGAATTTGATTTATGGTGAAATTACGTGGTTATTGTCCTCTCTGACACCAGTTAGTGAGTACAATCTGATAGCTAGTCGTTCAATGAAGCACATTAAGAAATATAGAAATATTGTCCTCGCATTAACAAAAAAACCCAAGTATGTGTCGGATAAATTACAAATATTTGGGAAAAAATAAAGCTTGTAGTCAATTCCTCCATATAACTTTGTTGTGTGCGGCATCGTATCCTGTTTTATGTTCAAATTGGGTATTAATTTAAAATGAGTGATTTATTTGTATGATTTTGACATCATTTTTATTGCAAGTAATAACAGATGTGAATTCAACTGAATGCATATTAATATTGGTCATTGTCAAGCAGATTTGTTTTACTGCACCTACGTCAGCCAGAGCCCGCCATTTGTCACTGCATGGTTGTTCCGTACGAGTGAGTTGATTAACACGTAGAAAGCTATATGCAAGCCATTTAGATCATCGACAGTGATTGCATAGGATGCTGCACAGCGTCTTCTTATGGATACCTATCAGCCGGAAAAGAGATCTCATCATCTCGCTAGCCCACCGTAACGGAAGAATTTGCAGGGATGACTGTTAGGAAGAAGAGCTCCTATTTCTCAAAAGCATCCCGGTTCAAAATGGATATTCACCGAGTTTTGTGGAGAAGATCATGAAACCAAGACCAAAATGTGAAGAATACAGTTCAGTGCCAAAGAAAACACTTTATTTCAATCTGAAATTCAGGGGAGACCTAGTAGCAGATATCCTTAAAAAGAGAATTTCCAATTCCTTGAAGAAGGCTTTTCCTGCAGCATTTCTAAGAGTGATACTATCTAGCCACCCACTAATTCGGAGAAACGGAAAAATCAGACTTCCGCATATGACCAATTCAGTG